GAAGTTCAGACGGGCGATAAAGGAAAACTCTTGCCCCGTGAGGACAGTCAGGCATTGGAACAGGTTGCCCAGCGAGGTCATGCAATTCTCCATCACTGGAGGCTTTCAAAGCCTAGCTGAATAAAGTCCCGATGAACCTCATCTGACCTCGTGTCTGTCCCTGCTTTGAGCAGAAGTTTGGACTGGAGACCTCCTTAGGTCCCTTCCAACTTGGATTATCCTGTGATCCAGTGCTCTCTATGATGGAGAGGACAGAATGTGGCAGGTCTGAACATCTCTGCAGAATGACATTTTCCAGTTCAGTTCAGAGTGGAACTGAGCAGAAATGAACTGAACTTCTCAGGCTTCAAGACTAGATCCAGATATCTCTGTGTAAACAGTATTAAACAACTAAAGCAACACTAAGACTGTGACCTAGCAGGGTAGTTAAGCGTGTGCTTAACCCTAAGCATGAATAATCACACTGAAATCAAGCCTCACATTGAAACTTGCAGTGCAGCCCAGGGTTGGCAAGGTAGAAAGTTTGCTTCAAGCTATGCTAGCTCCACACTCCCCCCACTCCATTGCTAGGTTCAGTGGTAGAGCACTTAGGCATGTTTACCTATGAGCTGAGCATATCTGGTATCACAGCCTGTTAAGAGAAACATGTCACTTTTACAGACCAGGGTAACATTTATAAATAAAAGACATGAGTAACTTTAGGCCCTGATCCAACAATGTACTTAAATGTGTGTGAATGCCCTTAAGCCCAGTGGACTTTAATGGAGCTATTCAGATGCTGGAAATTATGCATGTGTTTACATGGGCTGTGGGACTTGGTGCCAGTGGGGTGAGATCTGCAGTGCAAAACTCAGATGATGGGTCCAGAGAGACAAATATTCCCGTGTGTGAGGCATGTGTCTCTAAGTAAAATCTGCTTTGGGGGTGGGCTGATGTTCATCCTCTATAAAACAGAATTTAAATGGTTCTCGGACCGCAGTAGAGAGGTGAATTCTACCCTGCACCCAGATAACTATTTTTCAACTGATGCACAAAGCAGATGTTGCATTTAAAAGGGAATACTCAGCCAAACTGGAATTAGTTCAATATCTTGCAGAAAGCAGTTGGAGCCACAAAATAATGTTCACAAATAAAAACTTCAAAAAAATTACTTGCAACATTTACTTTTGCCAGGGAAATGTAGCTGAGTGAACCCTGCAACTAAGAACTGCGAGACACCCTACTGCAGGTTGGGACTGCACCCAGTGTTACATATTAAGTGGTCCATTTCTCTAGAGATTTAGATCAGATGCACTGGGAAACAAAATTTTGAACTGATCCATAAGAAAATATTAGAGATCATGTTTTGGACTTTGCAGGGCAGAAGGGCTTAGGTAGATACTCTCTGTCTAGTCTAGGGGTTGGCATTCTGCTGTAGATCACCTCTCTGCATCCAGACTGTGTTTGCAGCGACTGAAAATTATTAATGTCTCATGACTGTGGAGTGACCTTTAGGGAGCCAGTTCCTGTTCTCAGCCTGCTTTTGCAGTGGGTTTGTTTTAACCATCTCCACTTGGGGGACTTGCCAGCAGATTCAGCTGAGAGACCAAGTGTGTCATGAAAAAAAGTTTCTTCTTACTTTACTAGAAACTCATTTCTAACCTTAAACCTTACAAGTTACCTGTCTTAACACTGAAAACCTTGTCTGTGAAAGACAGCTGCCCCGCCCCCCCAACGTCTGAGAGACTTACAGCCTCCATCATCCTATGCCCTACTTTACAAAGTTCAATGAAATCAGACCGTGTATCCATGACAGACCTCACAAGTATTTCATTTCCTGATGCACGAGATAGTCCCACATGGGTCATGGAAAGGGAGATGCCTCTGGCTAGACAGGTCCTGTGATGAGCGGGAGGCACGCTGGAGCAGAGCTGCAACACTAACTGCCACCAAGGACACGTGTGCCTCCCTGCACTTCTCTTTTGGGTTAGATCCCTGCAAGCTGGCAAACCTCCCTCTCCTTCTGGTCCTGCTGCTGGAGCCTGCATGCCAGGCACAGCTGCAAGGCAGATCAGAAGTGAGGTTGATTGGCTGTGTCTGGAAAATTGGGTTGTGCATTGGGAGAGTTGGCAGTGTTGCAAATTCATGAGAGGGAGGAGTAACACTGAGGGAGGAAGAGGTGGAAATCATCTGTATAGATCACACACTGCATGAGTCAGACTGTGGGTCCGCAGGAGAAGACTTTGGGTACAGTGCCACCCTTTATGTTAGCCTGTGTCTTTGCATGCCCTCAGGTGGGAGACTTGAATAAAAAGATCTTTGCAAAGTTTGATGCATAGAGAAGACCCTATGGATGCTGAGACCAGAGCTGATTTTGGGCTCTGGAGCCCCAGCTGGCCTGGGAGGAGCCGCAGTCAGCTAGTGTATGCATGCAAGTCCCGGCAGGCATTCTGCAAGCCTGATACTGGTTCTGAGTGAGAAATCTGAGAACACACACTACAGATCTGATATCCTGAGCAGCATATCGTCCCCATGTGTTGCCTCAGGTCAGACTCATGTTTTGACTAGAAGGACTCTGAATATTTTGTTGTTCATGCTGCCAGCTGCCTGCAACACCCTGTCCTAGTGTGCAGACAAATGCCTTTCCCTTCAGTCTAGCAAAGCAGGACTGTCCCTTGATAGGTCCATTAAACAAGCCCTAGAAATCATCACTGGACTCTTATATGGAAGATCTTGCAAAGCCAACATGCAGGGATTCAGTTCTGTTCACCAGACAGGCTGGCATCTGAAATAGAGAAAAAAGAGACACAGGGAAAGCAATATGGTGCTGTTCCCCGGGGGAAGATGCAGATAGTTTACTGGAAGAATCACAGCCACTGATGGAGTCTTTTTCCCAGGCTCTGGGAGCCACCCTGGCCAAGTTGTGCTGGGGATTGGCTGCTGCCCCCTTCGTATTAATTTCTTCAGCTAAATGGTTTCTTCTGAGTATGTGAATATAATCAGTGGAGTGTGTAAAACTCCCAGGTTTGACCCTTGCTGGGCTCAGTGCTTCTTGTGGTATAAATTTCTCAAGCATAACATAAATGTGTAATGGATTAAAGCTTTAATAGTATCCGTTCGGCAGTTGACTTAAGCAGGTGATGACAAGAGGGGCTGGTAATGCTGCTTTTGTTGGATGAAGGATAGGCCGGGCATGCTGCTTATGTGTAACCCAATAGCACTATTCTGTTCCGAGTGGTCCTTGGTGGTAATTATTCCTCATTCTACTTCCTTCGTCCCCCCCTCATTTGCCTCCAAAATGTCATTCTCCTGCTGAGGATGGGCAGGCACACACTTATCATTCCCTGCTGAGCTTGCTTGCCCTCAATAAATACATTCCAGGCTTATATTCAGGGCCTCTGGCCTAGCTCTCATTCTCTGCGTGGAGGGCATAACTCCTGTTCCGCAGCCAGCGTAAGCAAGGCATGGCCTGTTCAGACCCTTCCCAGCAGCAACCGGCAGTGCTCCTGTGGAAGTTTAAAGATGCAGCGACAAAGCACTGCTCCCTGGTCCTTCTGTGTACACAGCCAATAGGGAGCTCTCCCTTTCTGTTGTTATTAACCCAAAAGGTGTTTGCTGCTGGATCATTTCCAGTTCCTCAAGCACGCTGGGAATCTGCAGCAGAGCTGGTCTCACACTGCAAGGTGGTGCTTGCACAGACTTGTTCCCAGTGTGACTCCATCCCTCCTTATTGCTTTGCTTTCATAGACAGGCCTGTAGTTGTATTTTCGTTGGGAGGTCTGCCTGGGAATAGCTGTGTGTCGTACACACAGGAGAATGCCTGGACACCTGTATGTGTGCATGAGATAGAATCATAGAATCATAGAATCATTAAGGTTGGAAAAGACCTCTAAGATCATCGAGTCCAACCGTCAACCCAACACCACCATGCCCACTAAACCATGTCCCTAAGCACCTCATCTACACGTCTTTTAAATACTTCCAGGGGTGGTGACTCAACCACTTCCCTGGGCAGCCTGTTCCAATGTTTAACCACTCTTTCAGTAAGGAAATTTTTCCTCACATCCAATCT